GGGGGTGTTTTGTGGTGGGCGGGGGTGGGGCACCCCGGCCGTGGGGGTCCGGGGGTCGAACCCCTACCCCGGCTTTGCCCCCGGGGGCCCCCGCCTGACAACCTGGCGCCCACGCCTACACTTCCCTCCTACCACATGCTGAGCATGATCCTTTTGGAAGAGTTGGATGATGAGGTCCAGAAGTGTGTTCGGCCGGTGCTTGACACGTCGAGAGAGACTGGTTGCACAATCATGAGCGATGGTTGGACCAACATCCGGTGTTAGACGTTGTGCAACTGCCTTGTTGGGACAGAGATTGGGGTAGCGTTGTCGAGCGCATCGGTCCAGCACCGCACATGGCAGCGCGGGACCCTCTCGGCCGCGTCACGTAGGAGTTGGACCAACCTCATTATGAACACGCAAAAGGAGCTTCCTTAGGCCGCTCCGGCCGAGTGCGCCAGCCATACCTCTCGCGAGCTCCTACCACAGGATAGGGCCTACGCCAGACACAACTTACCTCCACCTTACGGGAACTGTCACCTCCCTTCAGTGGGCGTATCCACGCCGAGCTACCAGACCACAGTACGAAAGCTAATCAGTTGCAATCGCAGAGGTGGACCAGCTGAGGGCGTTTCTCGTTCGCTGTACCATAGGGGGCTAAGGTCCCAAGCGCGACTCGTCGCCGGTCGGACCCGCACGCGAACTGACATCCTGGGGGGCTAAGGTCCCAAGCGCGACTCGTCGCCGGTCGACAAGGACGCATCCCATACACCACGTGCACACCACTTTACGAACACACACAAGAAAAAAAATAAAACACGCACACACACACGAAACGACCCAACGCAGACAATGAGACGACACTCCTAGTCCCTCGGTAGCCATCCCGCCTTGGCAGCACCGCGCGCGGACTTGACCCACCTCTTTGGCTGGATTCAGGGAGGTGCACCCTCCCCTTTCTTGATTTATGTGTGTCATCCTTGCGCAGGGGCCATGCTAATCTTCTCTGTATCGTTCCAATTTTTAACAGATGTCCTCGAGGACACACCCTGGGGCCACGGGGTCAATCAGCCTCGGTCCCTGATAACTCAGAACTATTTGGCTTTACTCATCAAGTTTCATCACCTGGGTTCGAACACGGGTCTGCATTTCAATAGTTCAATGGTGTACCCATTGAGCTAGGTTCTTGGGCTCCAACCACGCCCACCTACTTCATCGTGGCGCAGTTACGAAAACAATTTGTGATTGCACTTCAGGCAACCCACGAATATAACACAGCCCACGCGAACCTGTCGCAGTCTCTCGTCCTCGTGCGGGACGTGATAGAAATGGACCAAGGCAATAAAGGAAAATAAAATAAAATAAAATTAGCTGTAGTACTGCCGGGGCGCAACGGGGCTGCTGGCACCTTACCAGTCCCGCGGGCCGGGCCCGCTGCCTCGCTCGATAACAAAACCGAGGGGGATAGCCCAGCGGCCCTCAACCCCATCGGCCTCCTCCTCGATGCTCCGCTGCTGCTGCCGCCCCGACGCCCTCCGACCTTGATCCGGAAACCTCCGTAGTAGTAGTCCGATGCCGTAACCTATAGGGCTAAGCCCGAGCCTGGGACAAACTTGCGCAAAAATCACTATAAGACGATGCGGCCTACCGGCTACGGGCTGGGAGAACAGCCCAAGCCTCCCCTCCACCTCCAAACATACGCGCGGCCGCCAAGTACCCTCGCCGCCTTGCACAAGCCGCGTCACGGCCCCCATTCACACCCTTCCACGTGTCGGATCTATTGCCGACCGAACGCGATAAGAAAGAAAACGGATTTTTTAATCCTTAATCTAATCAAGAGACAAAAACAAGTCGGATAACCATACCGGCGCCGCGATTAATTTTTGAACGCGCGCCTTAAACTGCGCGCCCACTCACCCTTCCTACTCAGACAAACCTTAGCCTACGTGCGGACGACCCCGCATTTTTCGCGCAGGCACTCAAAAATCCAAGTTAACCAAGCCTTCCTGTCGCTTGCAAAAACCAGGGCGGATACCCTTGTAAGGGTATTCGCGCCGACAGCTTACCGGACGATATTAAGCGACGTCCCCGTCACTTCGCCAAATCAAAAAGCTACAAATTCATCAACACTTCAAATGCGGACGAGAACAGAACCAATCCGATTAGCCGATAGACTCAGGGTTGAGGCCTCTATCAGACCGTGCCAACACAACTATATGCCGCCAAGGTTTCAACCCGGGTCTCCATTATCCTGACACTAGGACGCCGGTGTATTACGCATCAATACTACAACATAAGTTCCAAAGACCCTCAAACCATCCTCTTGCCCTTTGTCCTAGACAATCGCCGGTCTCTCGTTGGGTGTCCCAGTTAGTCTCTTTCTCACAAGCAGAGCCATAACTAGGGACGCGGGCCTTGAACGAGACCTATGAAGGCATTCTCGCCTTCTTCCAACAATTTCCTTGCAATCAAACAAAATATGCATATATAGGCTTACATTCTCTCTCAGCCTCTTCTGCAGTCTAGTACAGAAACGTTAGGTCCCCATCTTGACCCACCATAGCCTGGTTGATCGGACCAGGTCTACGGCCCACCGCATTATTACCTTAGTGGTGGTATCCTCTCGCTGGTTATACAATGACAGGTATTTTTCCTGATAATCAATCAATCAGGATTCCCAAAAGACTCGATTCTTATCCCATGGAGTAATTTTCCTTGGGCGGAGAATTCCCCTTAAACTCTTACCCCGCAGGCCCGCAACCAGGTTGCGCTAGCTAGCAACCATCCACTAGGGGTTACGCCCAAGTGGCAGTAAACTGTACCGTTAGCTTGGTATTCCTTTGAATATGTCTCAGAATTAGCACCAGCGGCTAGACGGGGCGTCACAAAACAATTCGCAGGCCCGATGCGGGACTACGCAGGGGTCTGAAGGCATTTACCAGCCCTTCCACAATAGGCATGGCATCCTTCGCACAACCACAAACAAGTCCCCCGCTAGGTTCACAAGGCCGCGGCTCCTGACTTGATCAGGGCCAGTAGCCACCCATCCTAAGGCATCTTTCGCCCTGCATTCATTACGATCCTCTCAAACATTTCAAGCAACATGGTTCCTTCTCGTCAGACTTTATCAACACAAACAAGGTTTTCCGTGCCACTCAATCTTTACCCACCTTTAACTTGGTAAAGGTGCCTCTCACAAGGGATTTCACAGTTACCCCCCCGTCGTTTGGGATGAACTTTCACACGACCCCTTTCAAAGCCATGTGGGGGCCTCAATGACAATACAACTACCACCTTTCAGAACCATGAAAGGGGTCTTAAACATAAAACAAACTCGGCTGAGGGACCAACTTATGGGCCCCCATCATAACTCGGATAACAATCATTTGGCATGGCAAGACTCTCAAGTCTCAAAGACTCATAAATCCCATAGGATTCCCATAATTTTTCACAAACAGGCTGCCCCCCCCCCTCCTTATACTCTGCCTTGTCATCCTGCTCATAAGCAGGTCGCACGAGTATACCGGAGGGTAGACAACTTCACAATTCTTCATAACAATACACATGAGATGCATCATGTACACCTCCCACACAAAGCCAAACACACATCAGGATAAAGCCACACATGCGAGAGTGGTAGTGATCGTCACAAGACAAATCTCATAGGGTCTCAACTCATAGTACATTTAGGGAGTAGAATGTCTCCCTCAAAACTCGAACACAAACACTCAACTCAAAGTCCTGTCCGCCTGAGCAGGACTCACGACCCCACTGTACACTCACCGAATACACTCGGGAACACAACATCTTCCTAGAATCCAAGAATACCCATCCCCTGTCTCACTCTGCTGGAAAGACTCACATCCCAAGTGCTACAAACCCCTAAATCTCGCTCAGAAGCGCTAATAGCCTCTGAGTCCCAAAACCAAATGTAACTAAATGGTCTCACTTATTACCTAGTCGAATCCCACCTCCTAAGCCGTGGCCCATAAAAAAGCTAAAAAAAAAAATGTCAATTATATATGTATAATCAGGTAGGAACTCATCCTACCACTCCCAAGGCATGCACACATCTAGGGTCCACTCAACTAACTCCAGATATGTACACCTCTAACCCGCCCTCTGTGTGCAAAAAAACTTTAATCCTATTTATATATAGACAGACCATCTCCTACTCACGCAACTCCTTCTGGTTCTGTCTATATAACTGTGCCCTACCCCCATCAGGAGCTCGCTCTACTATCCTACCCTGCTTATCGTAGAACTTGCCATCAATCTCCGCAACGCGTCCTTCGGCCCTGTCCTCGAGGAGTTCCGGGCAGTCCAAGGCTCTGTGCCCCTCCTTCTTACACCAGAAACAGGAGGCGTCAAACCACCTCGCAATTTTCTTCTTCCTTGCCCGGAAACTCGATGCTGAAGGCGTCCCCATAGCCTTGGCAGTCACCTCATGACACAAAGGCAATCCTATACGGCCCTGAGATCCGAGCTCCACAGCCTCAGTGCCCTCACCCCCTCGTACGGCTGCACTTACCGGCCCGTACTCTGGCGTGTCCAACTCTGGGAGCCTCTCCTCGCGTGGCCTCTCTGTTGCAGCCACCATCTCGTCCCTGCATGACTCCAAGGGATGAACAACTGTTGCCGCGGCTGGCTCACTTATAACCTCCTGCTGTAGCTGCTCTGAGCTATGCCCTCCTGAGTCAATCCCTGTGGCTCAAGAGCCTAACTCCGTCCTCAACTCTCTCAACCTCGGGGCATACTCTGGAGTATCAAGTATCTGAGGCCTCTCCTGCGGTGTACCTATCCCCATGACTGCCACCAGCTCATGCAGACGCGAGCCTCTTCTCTTCGTAGACATAGCCATGAGCGACTCCTGTGCGCCACTCTCCTCTGCGGACGGATACGGGGGTCCCTGGACCAGCCCCTCGACGCGGGCCTCATGGGATGAAGATACCCTAGGCTGCATAGTTATCTCAACAGAAGCTCCGGCCCCAACAGCCTCCCCCTCAATCCTCCGTGTTGCCTCTCCCTCGGCCAAGTCCAGTGACACTCCCTCCGTCGGCCTCCTTTGTCGAGGGGACTCTGCCGCCGTTTCCTGACTAGGCGAAACCTGCGTCCCCCGGTCTTGGCCATCAACGCCAGCCCGCACGGTCTGTTCGGCCACCCCGGCCGCCAAAAGCCTATCTACAATAGCTGTCAGTTCCCCAAACCTTCTCTCCCACTCAATCTCTCTCGCCTGGCTCCTCGGCCTCTCCTTTGCGACCTGAGTAGTCAGGTGCTCCACCTCCAGTTTTCTGGTCGCCAACTCATCACTGAGTAGACTACATCGATCGAAGGATGTAACTGTCACCTCACGTATCCTCCTATCCACACGATCGACTGCCATCCTAGTGGCAGAGAACCCCAAGTCCCCTGCCTCCCTCAACTCATCCACCTTCTCGTCCGCCTGTCCCGTCCCCTGCGATCTTTGGCGGGCTGCATCTCTTTGGCCTTCATACCTGGCCCACAATTCGTTGATCCTCTGCTCACTTGTTTTGGGATCGATTGGCGGTGTCGGCACTATCCCTGCCGCCTCCGTCTCAGCCTGCCTCGCGTGTATCTCAGCCAGGCAGACTCGTACTCTGGCGGACTTCTCTTCGCGGGTTTCCTTCGAGGCTCCTCCCACTCGCGATTCGTGGGCCCTTGAAACTAACATTTCATCATCCTTCTCTCTACTCGTACTTAGCAACGCTGGCGGCGGCTCGACCGGTGCAGGCCCTCCGATAGCTGGGCACTCGATTGTAGGCATAGCCAATGGTAAAAGAGTGGTCATACTTATCCCTGCTCTCTCATCCACTCCCTGTTCCTCCATCTCCGCCCCCTGCTCAGGTATAGTGGTGGCCCCTGGGGGAAATTCCGGAATCTCCCCGTTGTCTGGCTCAGGAATCCCCTCTGGTCAGGGCTGCTGCGTCTGCTCTGGGGCTGGGCTATATGGAGGGGTGTCGTCTCCAACCGTGATCACCTCCCCAACCTGAGGTCACGCCAGGTCCTGCTGCTCGGCTACCTCCTCCGGGTCCTATGGCTCCCCTCGGCCTCGTATGTCTACCTCCGCCTCGGGGTCCAACCGCTCCTCTATTGGTACATATTGCACTGGCTCAGCTGAGCCCTCTCCCAACTGTGAGGCTTCCCATCGAGACACGTCGAGGTGAGTCACCAAACAACGGAACGACGTCTCCCCTGACACGGCCTGCTCCTTCCCTGGTAACGGCAGCGAAGGCGGCCGCAACTCGTCGCTCGTGATCCGCCGAAACTCCACCGACCTAAGACCACAAGCAGGGAATGACCCCTCCTCTGGCGCGGGCTCCATAGGCTCGTCCTCTCGCTGCGTTGGGGCTCTCCTACCCTCTCTAGCCACCTCAGCCCCTCTCGGCACCGGTTCCCTTGGCCTCTTGCTTCGTCTCCGCCTCTCAACCCTGGGCTCCGACCTTGCATGCTATCGCCGCCCAAATGCTTGTCTAAGTTGAGCCTGGCAGTCCTCCCAATCTCGCGCCCTATTTCGGATCTGCCTGGCCACTGGCCTCTCGGTCAAGATGAGTAGGGTCAGCATCCACCCCTCCTGCACAATCCCCTAGCTCAGCATATAGTGCTCGTATGCGGGAATAAACTCTTCCGCGTTCCCCTCCTCTAGCCGAATGGGCACGTCCCATGGGTGAAGCCCTTAACCTCTTCATCCCGACCTCAACATCTGGCCAGGTCAGGGCCTCCTCGCATATCTGAGCGATAGGCTCCTCAAACCTCCCTATCCCCCTCAAATGTTAAATCATCTCCGCCACTGACCATCCTCTCTGTACTTCATGGTCCCGATACACGTCCAGGAAAAACTCTATATTGTCGTCGTCGAACTCGGGCGTAGGCTCCCTCCTGGGTGGCCCGTGCTGCTCGCCCCTCCCAGATGCCCTCTGGGGCCCCTACCGTGACCGTGCGTCCCTCCCGCCTTTCTGCATGACTGCCTTCGAGAAGTCAGACCTGCACAACAGGCGAGAGACAGCAAACAGGCACACAACAGGGTCAGCAACTAAGCCTATTAGCCTAGGAAAAACCCACATACATTTTACGTCCATCCATCCCAGTCATCCCTCTATCTGATCCAGCCAAAATGTGCGATATCTGGGCAAGACTATATTCCTAAAAAGGCCTCGTCGTCCTTTACCTATTCTCTGGCCACAAACTTCTTCAGTCTTGTCCCTGATGCCCAGTCCTGCCACCTCGCCCCATCCAGCTCCTCGATCCTGTAGGTCCCGAACTCGCCACACCTCACAATCGTATAAGGCCCCAACCACCGTTTATCGAGCTTCCTGGACCATTGCTTTTCCAGCGAGGAGTCATATAGCAACATCGTATCTCCAACTCTCAGTGGGTCCTTCCTTACGCGTGCCATCTGGTCCCATCTCATCTTGTCTTCTATGCGGCTCCTCTCCACCTGAACAGCGGCCTCTCGCAACCTTTCCTCAGCAGCTCCCACTTGCCGCGCCCGAATATCGAGCAGCTCTTCAAAGGACAGGTTCACTTCCAAGTCATGACGCCTCCACGTCTTCATGAAACTCTCTATGAGAAATGTGGCATGCCTTCCGTACCATAGTGTGGCTGGTGCGTACTTGGTAGTCCTCTTCACCGTGACATTTTCTACAAAGAAAGCCACTCGCAGGAACTTTGGCCACTGATCAGGCTTGCCCTCCGTCCACTTAGCCAAGAGGTTTTTGATGGTACTGTGCCCCCTCTCCACAGGTGCGTTCACTTGAGGATGCGCGGCCGTAGTATAGTTAGCCACTACGCCATACCCTGCAAGCAAGGTTCGCACCTCATTGCTGGTGAACTCCGACCCTCGGTCCATCACAAACTCTTTGACGAAGGGATAGCGCAGGTAATACTCTTCCATGCAGTTTGCCAGAACTGGGCCAGTCTTTGTCCGGATAGCCCGACCGTCCACAAACCCAGTAACGTTATCCCGTGCATCGAAGATGTAATTACACTCATTCTCCCTACATGGCATGAACAACAGGTCCAGGTGTACGACCGCATCCACTTCCCTCTCCAACCTCGAGTGCAGGGGCTCTCCTGGCCTTTGCGCTGACCTCTCCTGGCCTTTGCGCTGACCTCTCCTGGCAAGGTACACAATACTGACAATACTTGATGACCATAGTCAACATCCCATCCGAATGGTAAAGCTCGCTTACCTTCGCGCATGTGGCACCTATCCCTCTGTGCCCCGCTGCTATACCATAATGTACGACTGCTATAATATCGATCTGTCGGTTCGTCCCACACACAATCCTTTTGGGGCTCCCGATTTGTCGCTTTATAAACAGATGATCATCTCTTACTACGTAGAGGTGCCTCATCTTCTGCGCTTTAGCACTTGCGTCTCTATCCCTCATCTCGCAGGACAGGAGTAACCCCAACTCCCAGTAGATCCCATCATATTCTTCCGCGCGAAAAGCCTCCCTGATCTCTCCATCCTCGAACTCATCCTCTTGACTTTCAGGAACAAGGATTTCACTTTCCATAGGGTCGAATGAGCGCCCCCGGTCAAAACCTCCTTGCAGTAGCGTATTAGTGAGCAGATACATCCCTCCCATTAACTGCTCATGCTCCTCTACCTGAGTTGGGCCTTCCTCTATTGTCCTCACTTCCTCCACCAGACTATGTGTACCTGCCAATGCCAACTTCATCATGCAACCGACATCCTTGCTTCCCCACGGATCCTCCTCCTGAAAAGGCTTGAGGACCAACTCCTCCTTTTGCTCGTACCCCTTTGGCGCGAGCCATATGTGGTGACTGACGCAACTGGGTACTCGCAGGGACCACTCGTTTATGTGAAGGCGGACGTCCTCCTCCTAATCCAAGAACCCATCAACTGGCGGGGTGTCTTCTATCGATTCCTGGTCCGATCCGTCCCAGTTGATGCGGCTTAACCCATTTGCCCTGTTCAGATGGAGTATAATTCTTCAGGGAACATGCAAGTGCAGTAGGGTCCACCCTCAAAATGAGCCTCCTGCCGAAAACATAGTTCCGGAAGGTCCTCAGGCAGTGGAGTACCGCCAGCGTCTCCTTCCTAAACTGAGAGTAGTTCCTCTCAGTTGTATTGAGGGTACGACTTTCAAACCTTAGCGGCCTCTCCTTCCCTTCAGTATCTGCCTGAATCAGGACTCCTCCCAAGGCAGTTGGCCCAACGTCTGCCTCAATAACGAATGGTTTTTCCTCTGTGGCCTCATAGTTTGGCCCTCCCAGCACCAAACCTCCTTCCTTAAACTCTCCCTTCATCTTGTCTACCGCCTCTTCCTGGTCTTCGCCCCAGACCCATTCCTTGTCCTGACGCACCAACTTTCTTAAATGCTCCATCTTTGAGGCAAAATCCTTCACGAAGCTCCTCCAGAAGCCACAAGCCCTAAGGAAACTCCTCACATCCGTTATTGAGCGGAAGGGCACTGGCCACTCAATAATCTTGTCTGTCTTCTTTACATTAGGCCTTCGCCCACTCTCATTACATACAAAGCCTAAAATCGTGGCCTCCCTCATACAATGTTTCAACTTGGGGCCGCTTGCCATCAGGTTGTGTTCCTCCAATAAACTCAGAACCTGATCGGTGTCCTGGATATGTTTCCAAACGAAGCGCCTCACTCCAGGCATCACTTCATCTTCCTCCTTCTCCTTTGGACCTTTGACCGTCAAGTCGTCAAGATAGGGCTGGGTGATGTGTGGACTAACTGTCTGCATGGTCCTAATCATATGCCTTTGCACCATTGCTACTGCATTCGTCCAGCCTTGAGGGGCTACGTTCATATGAATCAGCCCTCTGGGCGTGTCCATCGCCGTTACAGGCCTGTCTGGCGGGTATACAAGAAATTGATCGTACCCAGAGTAGAGGTCTATAAGCGAAATTATAGGTCTCCCCGCGCATGACTCTGACAGCGCATCCGCATTTGACAATCCTCCTGCATTCCGCACAGTCACGACATTTAACCCCTATAAATCCTGCATCCACCGCAACATCCCATTCGGCTTGATAAAGCAGAACCAGGGCAAAGTGTACGGCCCGCTGGAGTAGTCGGCGACGTGCGTGCGCATCTTGCCATCCAGGTAGTCCACCACCATCTTCTCTTCGTCCGGATTGGGGTACCGCGCGCCTCTAAGATTTCATGGTTCGTGTGGGACCGTGTGGATCAGGATCATTGGAATCTTGTCCACATCCAGCCTCCCACGTTGATCGTCTTGAAAGCATACGCGCGGTGCCTTTTCTTCATCAACCCCACCATCAGGGCTCTCTCCTAGGGCGAAAGGAAGTCGGGCTCCCCGATTATCAGCTTCTCCTCATTTTCACTTTTGATACGGCATGAACCATTGGCTGCTTGCTCCTGCATGCGCCGTATCAACCCCCGTTCCCGCTCGTAATACGCTTCCTCGTCCTCAGTAACGAGCATGGGAACTGGGCGACACTTCTTCTTATCTACTGTCTTATACCATCTTTGGAAGCCCTCCTTAAGCCGTCCCCTAAAAAAGGCCGGCTTGTCGTTTGTGCCTGTGCCATCGCCGGGCCTCCCCTGCCGCCTGGAAGCCGATAGACAACTCCACTTCTCCCACCTGAGGGTTCTCCAAAACCTGCTCCCTCAGTGCCTTGATGGCCTCAGGAATCAGGATTCGCCATATCGTGTGCTAACACCACTTCCATAGCCTTATTCACGTCTGCAAGGCTTAGGTCAGCACCTCGGCCCTTTCTTCCTCCTCGGGCACTTCTCAAAGCCTCCTTTGCTCATTCTCCGATTCCTCAAAGGTGAACGAGCCGAGATTATGCCTATTCCTTTCGCTCCCCGGCCCCGTGTTCCGGCAAGTGATAATCTCATAGTTTTC